CTCTGTGGATGACCTCGTCTTCATGGTGTATCGGGTTGGTGGCTGACATCCTTAATATCTTTCAGCAAAGTATAGTGATGGTTTACAAGTTACAGTGAAAGCATTCTAACATGGTTGAAGATAGTGTTGTTGGCATTGTTACTTGGTTTTTATCTCCATTTATTCAAGTTGAAATAAGATTGTAATTTGGGTGCAGAAATTCCAAAACAGACCGGCTCAACTCAAAGTTCTCATAGTTGTGTGGCTCAGAACAGGACATATTAACAAAAATGACATCTTTCTAACCCTTCCCTAACAAATTTCCTTCTCTTTCCACATTAACTTTTCCTTTTCTGATTGTGTAGAGCATAGTCATGAGCCGATTCATTGCCAAGAGAGTTTAATGCTAGGACCATAAACACAATGGATTCCTAGCATAGCTTCCACAGCTTGTCACACAGTTGGATGCCGACGGTTTCTGGGGAAGTTAAATCTGTACACAATTGTTATCTCCATAACTGGGACATGCGACTTAAAAGGTGAACTGCAGGCAGTTACAGGAGATTGCCATTTAAAGTAACTGAGTTGATTAACCAGTTAAGGATTTAGGATGGATCTTGGGACACCCTAGAGTCATTCCCCAGTGGAAACACACCTGTAGGTGTAGCTGCTGGGACCTGCAGGCAGAAGCTCTCTGTGCCAGTTGCTGTAATGTAATATTAAAATGTAGATTCATAAATCCCACACCTCCCCAGTTTGCTGTGCAAATGTGCTACAGTACCAACAAATATGTTCCTGGCCACTTTTTAAAGTGCATCAAAAACAAACTTTATATATTGTAGCTTACTAGTCTTTAGCTCATTTTGTCACCTCTATGAAAGGAGGATCCTTGGCTCTATTGGGGGCAAAAGGCTAGTCAGAAGTAGTCCCTAAAGCTGTTCTCTGCCGCATTATGGCTAGCCAGGCCTTTTCTACACTGTACTTTTGTGGGGGCAGCTGTCTTGGTAGAGGAACATGGCTTTGCTTCCTCATGTTAGAGCTACACCCATCCCCCCAATACTGGGGGAATATTTGAGCAGCAGCAAGAGGCAAAGAAAGCAAATCTCAAAAGACTTGCACAATGCCTTAAATCATCCTTTCTCAGCTAGGGTTCTATGGCACTCCGAGGTGCCTTCTGACTTTGTCAGGGATGGTTTCACATTTTACCACAGTATCATGTATTTTCATGATGCAGGCAAGCTGACCAGCAGCACCATGGAAATGCATGATGCTAATTCAGGGTGGCTGCATCAAGGACCGCCCCCAGCATTCAGAAGTCTGCCTTCGTCCAGACCTGCACCATCTCACAACCCTCTGCCATGCTGCCACACGGTGATGCAGATAAGGTTATCTAGGATATAGATGGGGGGGAATTACATCATTTTTTTACATTTACATTGTAGATGTTCCCTTTAAGACTGCAAATCTTCATGTTTTTATTTCAGGTAACCCATAGCAACCATGTCAATCAGGATTCAGTGTACTGAAATCAAACCAGCTCACAATTGAATCTGATGGATTGCTATGGGTTATTGCACTTTGTTCTTTATCAATTACAACCACTTGTGATTGTGCAATATCAGATTTAGGGTGAAGATGGTGCACAGGGTAATTGAAGCATTACAGGTCTAATCTGTAGGGAATCTCATGTATAATACAATATCCACTGAAATAGCAAGCACGCAAACCATTGGATACAATCATGCACCGGAAATAAAAGATGCACTAAATACATCAGTACGTACTGGCAGATCTATAATGCTGGCCAATGTTGACTTTGTGCTTACATCTGCAGATATATTGGTGCCTTTATTTTACTGCTTTACAACCAACACGATTTGTGCTCCTGAAAAGGAAAAGTGAGCGTCTTTCTATGGAGAACTAAAAACACAACAACCTGTTTTATTTATCCTTTGCTTAAAGAAACATGGGCGCTGCCATTGCTAACCGCTCCTTCAGAAAATGCTAGTTACTTTGATTTCATGCCAATTGTTTAAAATGACCAGAACAAGTAGAGAGGAAGTGTGACGGCTCTCATTTACTGTATGCTATCCGGTGGTGAAACAAGATTGCTAGGCACCTAGCAGTTTCGGAGGCTGGGATCACATTTTCGCGTTGCAGCAACATGTACGTTACCACAACCATCATTTTGTATGGCGCCCAAATGCACTGCATCGTGTTACAAAAAAGGGTTATTATGTCCAGTGTTGGCCTTGCTGGGGGTGCTTGGTACCTCATTGAAAATATACATGTGCTGCCATAACACGTTAATGCACATGAATTTAGTGCAGCGCAATCCCAAACAAATAGTGCAATTGCACCACACTGGAATGCAGGGCATTGCTGTACCATGCATTCCAATGGGGGCAGGAGGTGCGCCTGCGGTGCCATTGAAATGAAAACCACCACATCCCCTCCCGCCCCAGAACGCAGGGAGGCTTGTTTATGCAATTCAGTGCGTTCACCCCATGGGACTGTGGGATAAACGCACTGGATGGTGGGAACAGGTCCTAAAGGTGTCCTCACACTTCCTGTTGAGTCTACAGGACAGTAAAGAAAGGGAAATCGTCCTGAGATAAATATTTTATTTTTAAAAACCCCACTGACCGCAGATTTAAACCATTCCTACTCTATCCAAAATGGGGGGGAAAAAGTTTGAGATAAATATCCTTTTTATAGTTGCAGCACACGGTTTCCAAGTTTGGACAGCATTAGAATACATGCATTAAAAAAAAAGAAACCTGCAACTATTTACAATAGTTTTATAGTTTAATACACATCACACAATGCACATGCATACATCGTAAGATGGATTCACAAAGAAATCAAACAATATGGCCATGCAGGTTTATATAGAATGACAAAAGGCAAGCTTGATGAATAACATGCTTTTCAATTAGTGTACAAAAATAAATAAAAAAAAGGCCAATAAATAAAGTCATTTTAGAATGCAATGCTCTACTGGTTTTCTAGAGCCGATTAGTTAGCATTTAAAGTGAACCTGTAATCCATTTTACACTCCTGTCTAAGAACAGACCCAACAGGGCACCTACTACCTTTATATTTTAGTCCTAAAATGCTCTTTTCTGGTCCTTAACGACCAATGCTGCTGTCATTCGGCAGAGCTTCGTTATGAAGTCAGGAAAAGTCAAACTAAATTACAGAGAGGGCACAACAAAGGCTTTTCTGACCAATAAAATTCATCTTGTGGTTTCAGCTCTTAAAATGACAAACTCCAGTTATTTATTTTAAGTTTTGGATGGAGTAGAAATGGCTTTGAACTTCAGCCAGGTTTTAAATTCCATCTGTGTCCCCATCAAGGAGATTTATTCTCCTTTTCTGCTGGATGCTCGTCATCTGCACAGGAAGGAGATAAACCTGATGGGGACACAGCAATAGGATGCACTTCTTACAGGTTCACTTTAACTTCCACAGAATCATGTTGGCAAGGGAGAGCCATAAGCCAGCAAGGGTGATTGATCAATTTGACACACAGTATGGCAGGGAATAAGCAGTAAGATTACATCACAATTCATAAACCCCACACCCCTTCACTGTTCACATGCAGTACATTGCCAACATAAAACATGAACACTTCCTAAAGTACATCTAAGCCCAAAAACAAAAAGGTCATATTACAGCTCACCATTCCTTGGATAAAGCGGCTGCATTCTTTTTCTGGTTGTTTTCACCTGGCTATGCTGCAAATAGCGCATTTCCTGCATCTGTGCCTACACTCATTTCTTCCTGGTATATATGGAATAAGCCACGGTTGGCACACAGGCTGGACCAACATGGTTTTTTTCCAAACTTGCTAAAAATGTTCTTAACCCATCTTCCAAGCAAAAAGCTGCAATACTTTTCTTGTTTTTGGATTTAGAAATACTTTTAAAGTGGACCTCCAGCCAGATACACATCTTTACATGTATTTTTGATTTCTAAATGCAAGCAGTGTAAGTACCTGAATTTGACTGATCAGCCTCGTATAGACTTGCCTGCACAGCAGAGCTCAGACTTAGAGGTAGAAGCAACACAAGAAGCCAATTAGTGGTGCTGCAAGGCTGTTTAAATATCAGAACTGGATGAACACAAATACTTCGGCAGGTAAACATCTCCTATAAAAGGTTTTCTCATCCGAGTTCACCTGCAGCGAATTTACCTGAATTTCAGCGAGAATTGTGCATGTGTTTTGAAGGAAACTACTAGTAAGGAAGTGCCGCAGCGAACGATTTCTGGATAAAATTATTCTCTGGCCGTCATACCGATCCAGAAGACTAGAGGGTATTTATAAAGCAGTGAGTGTGGCATTTAGTGCAGAGGGATCAATCGCTAGTTTCAGGAAGATTCACCTGGAGTGAGTCACATTCCCTGCTTAATAAATATACCCCTAGGAGTTCTGACTTTCTCCATTTGCATACACATACAAGGTCAGTATATCACAGTTTGACATTGTAGGCCAGGACAGCCAGAAAACAAGCATTTTTAGAAGGTGTTCAGCAATGGAAGCCTCTGCATTTCTCAGTACAGGATTTCTATAATAGAATATTGTTCCAAAGCCATATGGTAAATCTATTGGCATGACTGTCCAAGATTTCTGGTGTCATGTATATATAAAAAAAAAAAAAAAAAAAAAAAATATCCCATCTACTGAATGAGAGGAAGCCAAATTTGTAATACATATGTGCCAGGTCCGGTCAGCAATTAGTTTGAGTCAAAAGTATAATTATATATAACAAGAGCTGCCATTAAATTGAAGTTCATCATTCAATGCCCAAAGCAAAGTCCACACACAGATATAGTATAGCCGATCATGCAAATGCATATTGTTTTGCTCTAAAGAAAGCTTGGCAAGGCCCTTCATCAATAGGCCATGATAAAACTTTAGAACATACAGCTTCACCGGGAAGCTTTGGAATCCCACAAAACAAGCTAGGCTTTCTAGCCTAGTCAGAGATGTGGCAAGTAATTATAAACAACCAATGTTAAAATGGAAGAAGGTGTTTATTTGAGTGGAGCGCTTTGTTTCAAAAACATAATTCCAAAATAGTTCTCTTCAATTAAAAAAAAGACAAAAAACCCAGATGGAGGGAGTGTAAAACAAATAAATTAAAATCCATAATGCATCTCCGGTGTTAAGGCCACTTCTTATTGCAGTTAACTCTGTAAACAAAGAGAAAGCAGAAATTAGAACACACACAGGAATCCCAACATCAGATTGAGAAGTGGTACCACTTCAGAAACAAATATGGGTGGTCTACAGATCAAATACATTTCACTTTCTGAAAAAAGAAAAAAAGCATTGCACCTCCGGGCTGGAATCTCTCACTAAAGAGAGTGGCTTGCATGCAGCAGCATTCTGCTGCCAGGATACTCACTAGAGAGGAGCATGGTCTGGCCACTGGCTTCAACATAATTGTGAAAAGTATGAAACCAAGACCTCCGATTTTATTTAACAGACAAATTCTAAGTAACGTCTCCTTCGCTGATAGCAAAACGGAACCATTTTATAGTTATAGTCAACTGCCTGTGCAAATGCATTTAGCGCTGGTCAGAAACTCAGAAAACACTGTGCATTGTTTCTCAATGAAGTTTTTTTTAAGGCAGATATTAAAAAGGTAAGAGAAAGTCTATGCCAATGCAGCATGTTAGTCATTCAGCTTGTTTCACTGCTCCTTAGTGCAAAGCTGACAAGGTAGGAAGTCAAATAGAGTAATTGTGCTAAGGCAATACCCCCTATTTATGGATATAGGTTGGGCAGCTATAATAAGTTTTAGAATTAGATTTGCCATAACAACAATGGAGCCATACAGACACGAGTCAACTCAGTTCCTTAAGCTGCTAGGGGATAAGAACATAACAGAAGTGAAATGATTTGGCAATGCAGCCTAAATTCTAAAGAATTACATCCAGCCAGAAAAAAAAAAAAAAATCTGGAGCAGTTGTCCACAGTAACCAATCAGCTTCTCTCATTTTCAAAGCTTAACTGAACAAACTGAAAAGAGAAGCTGATTGGTTGCCATAAGCAACTACTCCACATTCTTACTGCTCCAGTTTTGATAAATTCCCCTCATTATGTTTAAACCTGAAAACAAACAGTTGCATGTTACTCTAGGGCTGTACACAAGGCACTCAGGCATACTCTACATATGTATCTGTTTATTTGAGTGGGAGAAAACTGCCAGAAAGAAAGTCTAAACGTCAAATAGAAATATGAAGTGGTTACCGTGCAATTGATCAGGTTTAGCACATCGCCATACACTCTATTAAATAATTCTTCCCTTGTGTTTGATCCATCAAGTTTTTCTGTAAGAATAATGATTTGGTAATTAGATGACATTAGCGGCAAAGTTGTGTGTAGAGATAAGTATAGTACAGAATAACCCTTACCCACACCAACATTCAGGTCCTCCATAACCTTCTTGTGCCTCACGTACATTGGCCAGACGTGGCCATCAAAAAGGCCTGGTGGATCTGGAACGGTGTAGTTTCTGGAGCTGTTAACACAACATTGAAAAAAAAAGACTGAATCAAATGCAGTGAGGTTAAAGTTATCATCATAACAAAGACCGGACCCAAGAGTGTTGCCATTTTGGGCACACCTGCTGATCTGGTAGGTTTTTTTTTTTTTTTTAAAAGGAAAACTCCAGGAAAACTTTAATTCATGCAGTGGTGCTACCCCGGCACTGCAAGGGTTTAAGTGCACATTTGTGTTTAGGTGCTAAAATAAAAAAAGTTATCTTCACCGGGAGCCCCGAGATGGCCAGCTATCACTGTGCTCCCTCCAGCCGGTCTCCTCCTCCTCACATCTATACACTGCGTATAGAACGTGATGATTTACGGGACCTTAGATCTCTGCCGGGAGGGGGTGGGGGGGGGAAGAGAGAGGCTGGATAGAATGTTCTGTGGACAAGCTGGCTCCACAGTTCAAGTGAGTACAACTTTTTTTTTTTTTAACCTAGGCAAAAAACGAGCAGCTAACCCTTGCCGTGTAGGGATAGCCGCACTGAAAGGGTTAATAATTTTTTCTCCTTGAGTTCAAGGGTGAAGTCAAATGTAACTCCATCAGTCTCTTGGTCTGGCTGCAGTTTTTTTTTTTTATCTTCCAATGTAGATATCTCAGCATGTGTTAGATATGTTTTGTAGTTTAGATTACTGCGACCAGTCCTGGTAGTTATGCTAATTTTCTTAGATTGGTAAACAGAAACAGTATTTGTCAAACAGGTAATAAAACAACAAGCATGTTGCATAATTAAAAAAATTTAAAAAAAGTTTTCACAACTACACATTGTTGCGGCTGGTCAAACTAGATACACATACTCCTAGCGCAGTTGTTTCTGTTTTTCTAAAACAAGCATGTCAATGTATTCACCTGGAAATGTCCTATCCAAGCTTATACTCTGAACAACATCAATCAGTCCCGGTACTATTCCTTAATCCCCAAAAATCTGCACGGAGAAAGAACGGAGGTTTCCACTGCTGAAAATACCCATTCTCTGCTGATCCAATGACTTCTGTACATCACCAGTCATTGACTTGGAACCCAGGATTACGCACACTAGGAATTTGTTCCAAGTCAATCACAACCAAGGTATTGAAGTGACAGACAGCCAAGAAACTAAGATTGCCAGAAAGGAGACATCAATGGCAATCTGTACTTTTCTTAGCACAGGTTTCCATGTAGCCAGAATTGGGAGAGGTGCTCGCACCGACGTCAGTGACTGTGCCTGCTATGTAACGTAGAGCAGATAAGAGCTTTGTGAATCCTAGCTTGTCCTTGACAGAAGGCACTTTAGCTGTTCTTATAGTGATAAGGAGAAATAGGAGTTTGACTTCAAGTCTGGCACACAATGTCTGAAGATAGACTAGTCCAATGCATTTATCACGAGGAATGACTAGGCAAGAATAATGAAGATAATGTGTTCTGAGATCTGGCTGATGTGCACTCCATACAGATAAATGAAAAGGTCTAGACCAGTTTTCTCCTGTCATATAAATGGCTCCTTTGAACGTATACATGGGCAATGAAAACCGCTTATATCTGCCCTTCCCCTAGAGAACAATGGGGGGAAAGTGCCATCCATATGAAGGCACAATAGCTTCTCGGCTTTCCTTTATCTACTCTTCTCATATTACATTGTGGGGGGCTATTCGTTTTTTTCACCCAAGAGTCACAAATTTTACTGAAGACATCTTAGAGAAAAGTTAAAGTGATATTAAAGTCAAAGAGTTTAAGCTCTTTCAAATGCTGATTAAATGTCACAATGGATGCTGCTCCCTGATGTTTAAAAGTTTTAGATTCCTGCAGAATCCGCTGGACCCCTAAACTCAGATATCCTTTTTCAGGGTGGCTCCTTTCCTTTGTAGGGTCCGATGGAGACACCCTTGTGTGTGCTAGTAAGCTGTATGTCTCCACAAATACACAGACACAGCAAGAGAAGCAGCTACCCTGCTCCCCTCTCCAAGCTAGTAGATGGACAGATGCTGGAAATTGTGCTCTCCCTTGTGATCTTATACTGGACAGAATGCTCAGGGAAGTAGAGCTGGGAAAGTCAGAGCCAGCTGTTCAGAAACAGAACTGTAAGTGCCTGGGCAAAATGTAAAGAAATACTGTGCTAGATAATGTAGCTTTGTTTGATCTGAAACTATTGAAAAAAAGCTTGAGAGTACTACTACTACTACTTTAAATGACTCTTGGGTGAAAAAAAGAATCATAAATAGCAGCTTTTTTTCTAACCGTTATTTCCCTTTTCTAATCGGTTGGGAGAATGGCTAGCAGATTAATGGACACAAGAGAAGTACAATTCTACCAAATTGTATTAATAAATAGCACTTCCATGGCAGAAAAGCCAGTGAAAGATTTCTGTATGAGAAGCCCCAGCCCGCTTTACAGAGCACATTATCTCCAGCAGGTTGTAGTTACACCTCCCATTATATCAATACAAAATGCTTGAATCTGCCGGAATACAACGTCACATATCCAATCGTCAGTCTTTGGTAAGGAGCCGATATGTACTTACAAGCATGCAGATAGTTACAAAGTGCTGACAGAACAATGCCCCACCCTCCTGCCCATGCGAACAACTGTCCCCTGTGATACAGCACACAGTGCTGCTTCCTCCCTTTAACACTTCAGTTGCTGGAGCCTTGAATCACTGAGCTAATTTCACAGAATCCCAGATCATGTTCCAGCACTTTTGTTAGTTTAACATTAGCAGAACAACGCCTTGAACAAACAGAACATTCTAATATGGCCATTTCAAGGAAATGCCCCAGCTGCCACTTCTGAATATGCTAATTTCTTGGTTGTCCCTCCGTTGTAATGATTTCAATAGTTTGAGGTACTAATACATAAGAATGCAGATTGAGTGTTCTGATGTGGGAGCATCAGTATGATGGCCAAGCAACTAGCTATTACATAATGAGGACAGATATTGTTCAGATCAGATTTCCTTTAATGCCTGGATAATGTTTTAACACTACAACTAAGTATTTCTGGAATACTAAATGAGGAATAATGGACACATCATAATATAAAACATTCTTGCAACTAGATAAGGGCTGGACTAAGCCCTGGAGCCAGGTAGCCAATGCTGCTTAAAAATTACAGCCGGCACCTAACTTTTGAGGTTCTCTCTAGTCAATAGAGCTTGATTCTTAAAATAATTTAAAATCCTGCTGGCTCCCAAATTCTATATGAACTTTAGTAAAATATAAACTTATATAACATAAAACAGATAAGGGGACATTTCAATATAGCAGCAGCAGAGTGTTGTACTGTGTAAGCCAGCTACACAAGTAGAAGTCTGGATTCAGGGCGATACCATTTATTGGCCATTTAGATTGCACTATAGCATGCCTTAAAAGCTTACACAATAATCTGTGTTAGCCAATAAATGGCATCACCCTGAATTCAAACATTTACTAATATGGCACCGTGTAATAGTCAATGGAACAGGACAAGCATCCTCCTCATGTAATTCCTCCACACAGGTGCTGTCACATACAGGGCAATGACTAAGCTTCAGAAGACTTGTATGAAAAGGTAAAGTGAGCCGACATTTAAAAAAAAAAAAACCTGATTGTCAAAGCTATGAATTCAGAAAAAAAAAAAATAAAAAAAGTTGTTTCCCCAGGGCAACTCCTAACATTTGTAGATGTACACGGTTATAGGTGTACACCTCCATGGTAGACAAATGGTGGTCCGTTTCTTTCATACTACCTCCCCTCCTACTTTTGTTGGACATCAGGAATGGTGTATTCAAATAAGGCGATACATTTATTATGGATGTCTCCCCCAAAATATAATGAAATTGTCCATACCACCCTTGCAAAGCCTCCCAGGGAATGAAGATAATGTATCCTAATTTGTTAGGCTTCCTGGAAATTTTGACACCAAGTAGAACTATAGTGTGTAGGAAAAAACATTGCTAGCAGGTAGACTTATTGCTGAAAAGACTCTGGGGGAAATTCATCAAAACTGGAGCAGAAGAATCTGGAGCAGTTGCCCATGGCAACCAATCAGCTTCTCTCTTCCGTTTGCTCAGGTAAAATTTGAAAATGAGACAGAGAAGCGAATTGGTTGCAGTGCAAATCTGCTCCAGATTTTGATAAATTCCCCCCTTTGTATAGTATAAAATAAAAGCATCCTACCCTCCAGCTAGCAAGTTTCTAAAGCTTGTACACCGAGCCCAGCATGTTCAACTCAGTGTAAAAGCTGGGTATCCTTGGGTGCCAGAACAAATTACCTACCGTGCCCAAGCGCAGTAGTTATGTCATCCTGGGCCAGCCCATCAATGTGGCTGAAGCTGCTAAACCCAAGACTGAGCACAGATGGAAGTCAGGCACTGAGGCAGAGCAGACATTGTATTGCTCAATGTGTTGCTTTTACAGGTTAGTATAGTGGACCTTTGTTCTGTTTTAGGTACTTAACAGCTTCTGATTGCCACTAAAAAGACAATTCCAGCTGTAAGGCTATAAGCCAATATTTATAAATCCATGTTTTTCAGTATATTCATCTTGAGATTTGCAATAGAACCCTTGGTACATTAAGTATTTTATATCTAAAGCCTTTTGGGAAAAAAAAAAAAAAAGTTTGGATCTATGTCACATTGAAGAGATTTCTCTCCACTTCCTGATAATGCATAAAGTGAGAGGAAATCTCTTCCAATAAAGAAAATGCCCTCAGGTGCCACTGGTGGAGGATCCACACTCTGTTGCTATTCTTCCTGCTCTCCTCACTATTCACACTGGAGAATGTTTGGCTTAACACGCTTTAAGCACAGCTGTTCTAGATATTAGCAGTTCACGCAGAGAATATTGTGCTCTTTGCTATGGAACTTACACCCTTGCTTTTGATATCCTGTTAAATAGCAGTCATTAGCATTCCCAAGTGTAGGCAGAAGATGACCGTCACATCTACCTTTAACGTCATGGACTGCAAGTGTTTAAAGTAAGCTCATGGCTGCAGCCCGCTATTTCATAGCAATAAAGTAGAAGGGTTTTTAAAAAAATTTGAATAACACGAAATAAACATTTATTGGGGCGTGCACAATTGCATCACCTCGGTAATGGTGTGAACTGAGTTATAGCTCTAATTCTACAGCCATCATTCACTGTTCACTATAAACTGATGACCTGTAAAAGCATTTAAAAGCATCGCCTATGGACAATTTTGGGTACAGTCGTTTGCCATTTCACAGATGCACACAATTTTAAGGTTTGACGTGTTTGGTATGCATTTACTCAATGCAAACTCATCTTTTGTATTATAGCAAACTGGGGTTTATATTGTTTGTATGCACTAATTGTATTTTTTGTTTTTTCAGAAAAGATTTTATAAACAAGAGTGCAAATATTGTGCAAGAAAAAAATTGCAACTGCCACAATTTCATTCTACAGGGCCTCTGCTTTCAGCAAATATGTAAAATTGTTTGGGGTATTTTCTAGCAAAGATATGCAGATTTTACCATGAAAATCGGGTAGAGTGATGGTCACTTCTTTTTAACGTGGATTTTTATGAAAAGCCATTATTTTTCACTATAGTTGTGGCAAACTCCTAGCTTGGTTATGCTGGTAGCTATAAAGGGCTATGCCACCCCTTTTTCTGCAATTACAAAACTATCTCTGTATTGGACTTCTGGTTTTGTGTACTATTTTCTTTTTGAACACCCTGCTGCCCGAATTCCTCAAAACTCCTGATACACAGGGGTAAATAATAGGGCTGCACCGATAACGGTTTGAGTATTGAGTACTGATATTTATATTTCGGTACTCGCCGATAGAGTACTGATACTTCCAGTAGCTAGCTCAATGCTGTTTGGCTAGCTCAATGCGGATTGGCCGGGAAGCAGGCTTCCTGGCAAATCAGCATCGAGCCGGCCAACCGATCTGATAATATGGTGACAACCTCCACCCTGCAGACACTCCATTCTCCACACACACATATTCATTCTCAGCAGCAGTCATTACAGTACCACAGATGTCCCTCGGCCAGCTGGGCAGACATCGCTCTCAAAGCTCACTCGGATCTGCCAACGTCTCCCGTGTGTATAGCGCTTGCACCTCCTGCGTGAACGGCCCTTAGCCTGCTACTGCACAAGCGCAGACTGCCCAGCGCTATCATTCAGAAATCCTCTAACATTAAGCAGGTGGTGCACACACCGGAGTCAGGCAGCGGTATAACAGCTTGGAGAGTGGTGTCTGGCCGAGGGACATCTGTGGTACGGTGATGACTGCTGCTGAGGATCGATGTGAGGGGAATGAGGTGTCTGCAGGGTTGCGTCACCATATTATCAGATCTGTTTGGCTGGCTCGATGCTGATTGGCTGGGAAGCTGGCTTCCCGGCCAATCAGCATAGAGCTGGCCAAACAGCATGGAGTCAGCTTCCAGGGTCCATGTTCCCTTGCAGCACTGCTCCTGAGAGGAAATCTCCCTCTGACCGGAAGTTCCAGTATCGGGAAAGGTATCAGAGCATGTGGGAGAGCACGAGTACTTGCCCCCAATACTAGCGGCACCCATACCAGTATCAGTGCATCCCTAGTAAATAACTAAGCTTCAGGAGACACTTGTTTAAGAGGAAAGTTATACAGATCTCCAAATAGGATTACATAGAGAAAAAAAAAAAAAAAAAGA